TCGTTTATTTTTTTGTTAAAGATCATTTTGTTTGTTGTTAAAGATCGTTTAGTTCGTTCTTAAAGATCGTTTAGTTTGTTGTTAAAGATCGTTTAGTTTGTTCTTAAAGATCGTTTAGTTTGTTGTTCCAGATCGTTTAGTTTGTTGTTAGAGATCGTTTAGTTTTTTGTTAAAGATCGTTTAGTTTGTTGTTAAAGATCGTTTAGTTTGTTCTTAAAGATCGTTTAGTTTGTTGTTCCAGATCGTTTAGTTTGTTGTTAGAGATCGTTTAGTTTTTTGTTAAAGATCGTTTAGTTTGTTTTAAAGATCGTTTAGTTTGTTCATAAAGATCACCTGGTTTGTTGTTAAAGATCGTTTAGTTTGTTCTTAAAGATCGTTTAGTTTGTTGTTAAAGATCGTTTAGTTTGTTGTTAGAGATCGTTTAGTTTTTTGTTAAAGATCGTTTAGTTTGTTTTAAAGATCGTTTAGTTTGTTCATAAAGACCACCTGGTTTGTTGTTAAAGATCGTTTAGTTTTTTCATAAAGATCGTTTAGTTTGTTGTTAAAGATCGTTTAGTTTGTTATTAGAGATCGTTTAGTTTTTTGTTAAAGATCGTTTAGTTTGTTTTAAAGATCGTTTAGTTTGTTCATAAAGATCACCTGGTTTGTTGTTAAAGATCGTTTAGCTTGTTCTTAAAGATCGCATTAGTTTGTTGTTAAAGATCGTCTAGTTTTTGTTAATGATCGCTTTATTTGTTCTTAAAGATCGTTTAGTTTGTTCTTAAAGATCTTTCAGTTTGTTTTAAAGAACATTTAGTCTTCTGTTAAAGATCACTTAGTTTATTCTTATAAATCATTAAAGATCATTTGTTTTGTTCTTAAAGATCATTTAGTTCGGTCTTAAAAATCGTTTAGTTTGTTCTTTAAGATCGTTTAGTTTGTTATTAAAGATCGCTTAGATAGTTCTTAAAGATCACTTAGTTTGTTGTAAAATATCGCTTTCGCTTAGTATTAAATGACCAAAAACCTGAGTAACTTTCGGCCGTTGGCCGAAAGTCTGTCAATTTCGGCCGAAACTGAAGAAAAACCGAAAGTTAACTTTTCTCTTTCGGCCGAAACCGAAATTAAGCCGAAAGTTAACTTTCCACTTTCGGCCGAAACCGAAACTTGGGGGAAAGTGATAAAATGGCCACTTTCGGCGCCGAAACCGAAGCCGAAGCCGAAATTCGGTCGGCCTCTACACTAGACATACACTAACTAGTAATACACTCAGTACAAATAAACATGTGACATGTTCTCTATGTAACATGTTGTATATGTGACATGTTCTCTATGTGATATGTCCTCTATGTGTCATGTTCTCTATGTGACATGTCCTCTATGTGACATGTCCTCTATGTGTCATGTTCTCTATGTGACATGTCCTCTATGTGACATGTTCTCTATGTGACATGTTCTCTATATGACATGTTTTCTATGTGACATGTTCTCTATTTGACATGTTCTCTATGTGACATGTTCTCTATGTGACATGTTCTCTATGTGACATTTTCTCTATGTGACATGTTCTCTATGGGTCATTTTCTCTATGTGACATGTTCTCTATGTGTCATGTTCTCTGTGTGACATGTTCTCTATGTGACATGTTCTCTGTGTGTCATGTTCTCTATGTGTTTCAGGAGCATTCTTAATACCGTTTGTCATCTGCCTGGCCGTGTGTGGTCTGCCACTTTATTTCATGGAAGTAGCCATGGGGCAGTTCATGTCCAGGGGTGCCTTCCACGTCTGGAATATTTGCCCACTCTTTAAAGGTATCAAACGGCAGGAGAAAAAAAAAATAATTTTTTCCCTCCTTCCCTCTTGATCTTGGGAGAGAGGGGAAGAGAAAGAGGGAATAGAGAGAGGAGTGGATGAATAGGAGATAGAGAGGGACGGGATACATAGAGGAGAAAGAGGGGAGAGAGAATGGGTATAGACAGTGTAGAGAGAGAGTGGTTAGAGAGGGGGCAGATAGAGAGGGGTAGGGAGGAGGGCACATGGTGGATAGAGAGTGTGCAGGCAGAAAGACAAGACAGATGGATAGAAATGCATCTGTCCTCTGTGTCTTAAAATTTCAAAGTGTGGTTGTTCTGTGAATATATTCTTTTAAATTGATGCTTAAGTATACAAATTTAATTACTGCATAAATAAATATGAAGTATTTTGCATTGAAGAGTATTTTTCGTTTTGATGCGTTTGTTGCAAACTTGGCAATAATATTTCAACTTAAAATTCTGAATCTCTTCGAAAGCGGCAAGTGTTTGATTTTTTTCATATAGTTTGATCATTTCCACAGGTATAGGCATTGGCCAGATTGTTGCCGGTTTTATAAGTTCGTGGTACTACGTGATTCTCATTGCCTGGATCTCAATATACTTGGCCAACTCCTTCAAATCTCCGCTGCCTTGGACATTGTGTGGACAAGATTGGAACACCCCACTGTGTGTTCCACAGGGAAGTCGTGTCACCAGAAACGAATCTGTCAACATTTCTTTTAACGCAAGTGGTCAGGGCGATAAGCAGGACTACCAGGCCATCAATATCACTGCTAGTCACATGATTGGTATCAGACCAGCAAGTGAAGAATTTTGGATGTGAGTTCTATTGTTTCGTCTGTATCTCAAATAATTTTACACGTGACGTGATTTAATGCTGCCACATTTATTTTTAAAAAATCATTATTATAATACGAAATCGCGGAGAGGCTAACAAATCAACTAACACAGCGGTTCTCAACCTGTGGGTCACGACCCCTTTTGGGGTTCGAACGACCCTTTCACAGGAGTCGCCTAATACCATCGAAAAAAACATATAGTCTACAGTTATGAAGTAGCAACAAAAATAATTTTGTTGTTAGGGGTCGCCTCAACATGAGGAACTGTATTAAAGGGTCGCGGCATTAGAAAGGTTGAGAACCACTGAACTGTTACCGTATATTGACATTGTTTTCATCCATCAGGGCTGGGCCAGGGCTGCCACACCTTGGGAATTTTCCAAAGATCTTTGGAATTACCTACCCTATTCAGGACCAAAACTCACTTTTTTTTTTTTAAATTCCCAAGATTCTTTTTTTTTAATTCTAATATATTTTTTATGATCTTTGGAAATTTTGGGAATTAATTTAACAAATTCTTGGGAATTTAAAAAAAAATTAGTGGCAGCACTGGCTACAGCCCATGTAGGACTTTGGCCTGCCTCACCACTTCCTTCCACTCAGACCTAACATATTCTTAATAATGCTTTGCTTTTCCATGCTTGGATTCCCAGCTGCTATAGATCTTTTCCCACATCATCCATCCATCTAGGCCTAGGTCTGCCTTTGAGCCGTTTTACTCTGGTGTTTTGGTGGTACACCCTCTTCACTCCTCTGTCCTTTGGCATTCTCTCTAAGTATCACGCCCAGCGTAGCCTACCCATTTCTTAAAAAATTTCTGCTACTAGCGTGGCCTCCCCTATCCGCCACATGGGGAGGCTCTCAATGGAAGCTCAGTATCTCCGCAGCCTGCAGGAGAACTAACAGTTATAGTGGAACCCCGCCATAACACGCCCCGCCATAACGCGAATTCGGATATAACGCGGTCCAAGCATGGCTCCCGAACCATGGTTTCAATATTTTGTCCATCCAATATTTTACACGACGAATTCAGACTATTACAAAATTATTGAATATTTTAAATCTATATGATTTTCCATGAAATGACATCCATTGTGGATGAACTGCATGCCACGACGGCACAGGTAGCATACGGTGTTGATACACTTTTCTTGATATAGTGATAGTCTGGTATTATCTGTCAACCTGTATTATCGTTCAAACAAATAAAAAATTGGTAAATGTTTTGAATGCACTGTAATATCCTATAAATATATTAGCCATCGATTATTTTGAATATATCTTAATTATTGCATTCCAGTAAACATTCATCTGATGATAAGCGGACTGTTGATCATTGTACATGTACACACGAACACGTTCTCGGAAAAAAAGTTAAACCGCGCATTAACGCAACCCCGCATTAACGCAAACCCCGCATTAACGCGATCCGACTTTATGGACCGCGATCATCGTGTTATAGCGGGGTTCCACTGTATATACCTTACCCTAATTCAAGGGTCTATGCTCTATTTTGTTATTAATTTAATCATAGATTCTCATGGAATTATTCGTAAAATTTTTTTTTTTTTTTTTTTTTTTTTTTTTTTTTTTTTTTTATTTTTTATTGTTTTAAATTTTTTTTTTGTTTTTTTTTTTTTTNCACCACTTTGGCCCTATTAATATCTTGTCTGCTGGTGTTCATATGCCTCAGCAGGGGAGTCAAGTCTGTAGGAAAGGTAATACTTGATTATCTTTGAGTGAGATTCATTAATCAATATCAGGAAGGAACACTCAATTTTTCTCAAAATGACAATTTTGTGTTACGCAAGTGCCCCACCCCTTTTTTTTACTCACACACACACACTTTGAATTTCCTCAACAATTATTAAATACGTAAATAGAATTTGAATATAGCTGACTTTTAATTTAAATAGCTGACTTTTACTTTTTGTTGTATATGGAGATTTGGGACCCTAAAGAGTCTCTCTGAAACATTTTGAAACTCAAATCTTATAATGCCACAAAGGACTGTATTTGCTCAGTGATTTTTAATTTTTATCCAAGCATGAGAAGAATCCTACATGTCCTCAGACTCATATTAAGTGCAGCTACCCTTAAAATCAGAGCCCTAGCAGCTACCATTAATATCAGAGCCCCAGAACCTACAGTTTATATACGAGTCCTAGAATATCATTAATATTAGAGCCCTAGCAGATACCATTAACATCTTATAGGGCTCTGACATTAATGGTAGCTTCTAGGGCTCTGATATCAATGGTAAGTGGTACAGCTCTGTTAATATCTGCTTCATTTAAAATAATATTTTCAAGAACTTTTTTCCATCTTTAAAAGCAGTGGGTGAAAATAATAATACTTTCTATAAATCAAGGTTGTCTACATCACAGCCACTTTGCCATACATTCTAATCACAGTCCTCATCATAAAAGGTGCCACTTTACCTGGGGCAGTAGATGGTGTTTTATTCTACATTAGCCCAGACTTCAGGTACCTGGTACTGGTAATTATAACTGCAGTCTTTCATTACGAGTACCGGTACGGTACTAAAGAGTACCGACACAGGTAGTTAATGTACACAGGAGGTTATAACAGGAGGAAGAATGATGTGATATCACTTCTTGGAGATAGGGAGACAAGTGTATTAAATACAGCCATAAAAACATTGATAATTTACTAATGATAATTGGTATGTTCTATGGAGACATTCTGCTAACTAAAATGTTGTATTGAAATTATAAAAAGTGTTAAGTTAAAAAAATGTGCAATCTTGACTTGTCCAGTAAATTGATGCAAGTGCAGACGTGGCTGGAAGCAAGTCTACAAGTCATCTACTCACTGGGACCAATCTGGGGCGGGCTGGTAACAATGGCCAGCTACAACAAATTTAATAACAATTGTATGAGGTAGGGTATACTTGTTTCTTGCATCAACTTTTACTACAGGTATCAGTAGTTAAATATTTTTTTTTAAATTTAAAATACAACGTAACAAATTTAAAACATTCCTTTTTTATTCCCCAGAGATTCTATAATGTTGACATTGTTGTGTGAGGGCACCAGTGTGTTTGCTGGATTTGCTATCTTCACAGTACTTGGTCACATGGCTTATAATCTCGATGTTCCAGTTGCCAATTTCTCAGAAACAGGTATTTCAAAAACACATTGATTACGGTACTAAGATGTTTTTGTTTGAAAAAGAAATAATTGAATAATTTAGAGCTAGACCTCCAAAAAACTTTTTTTAGGACTGTCATATTTTTGCCCAACAAAAAATTAACGGTATAACAATAATAGACAATCAAAGCGATTTTTTCATGTCATTAAAAGTGTTTTTTTCTATTATCAGGGGCAGGATTAGCCTTTGTTGTCTACCCTGAAGCCATTGCTTATCTGCCAGTACCACAATTGTGGGGTGTGTTGTTTTTCCTCATGTTGTTTACTGTTGCTTTAGATTCACAGGTAACTTTTTTGAAGTGAGATACTGGTAATGTTACTTCTCTGTTTCTGATAAAATGATAAGTATAAATAAATATATGAAATAACATAAATACATACTGTACAACAAACAATAATAAAATAACGTTTAATTTTTAAAAAATTGGAGTTCTTCAAATAATTTAAATTGCAAAATGATTTTGTCAGTCATTCCTCTGTAAATTCTATAAATCAATGTACAAATTCTCAATACCGGTGCACATATTAAAAATGTAGCGCTAAAAAGCTGGATGTTAAAAGTTATAAAAGTGCTTTGAGGTGCTTTATTTTTTTTCTTATTTATGAATCTATTTTAGAATTCAGGAATTGTAAAAATAAAATGTTCACTTTTTTTGCCAGTTTGTTTTTGTAGAAATAGTTTTGACCAGCATCTATGATATTTGGCCAAAATTCGTCACTAAATACAACATAGCAGTGAAATTGGGATATTGTTCATTACAATTCCTTATTGGACTACCACTTGCTGCTAGAGTAAGTAAATGTACTGTACAGAAAACATCTTTGAATTTAATGAACTAGCCCCCAGATAGACTTAAAATTTTTGCCATATTTTTTCTGTTTAGATCAGGGATCTGCAAAATTTTTTTAGCCATTACCCCAAAATATATACAGTTGATAACCCTAATTTGAAAGGAAGAAAATCATAGACTTTTTATTTTCAAAATGGTATACTGAATCTATTTATTTGGAAAATACAATAATAAATATAGAAGTACTTAATTAATTTGATAAAAATAAATTAATAAAATACTTATAATGGACAAAAAGATACCTTTGAAAAAAATTAACTTCAAATTTTGTAGAAATGATGTTTCATTTTTATATAATGGCATCAAAATTTTGGCTTTTTTTAAATCAGAGAAAATTTGGATATTGTTTTTGGGGTCAACTAATTGATTTCTATTCTTTTTTATGTTCATTTGAGTTAAAACTTGGCAAAGGTTGGTGCAAAAGGTGGAAAAATTTGACTGCCTCCTCTTGAGAATCATTGAAAACCTTTGCATCTCTTGATGTTTTGAGGATAAGCAGGAACATCACTAGGACTGTGGGGCTGTGGACCATATCCAGGAAATCCTACCATGGGGTTGACAACCTGAAAGGGGAATGACACCATTTGAAAATTAAAATTTGACAGAGCTTATTTAAATTTGTTTTATAACACAACTAAGTTTAATGCAAGAGCAGAATGCCACCTGTCACTAGAACAGGCTGTCTTGGAGGAGACCCATGGGTCACAGAGCAGGCTGACTTGGAGGACATCCATGGGCGATTCAGGCACCTGTCACTAGAGCAGGCTGTCTTGGAGGAGATCCATGAGCGATTCAGGATGGGATGACACCATGCCATCAAAAAAACTGCACTGAGTGGAACCAATTCTTGTGATGCCTATGAGCATAAGATAAAATAGTGGACTAGACAAAAATTACATAAACAAGACGACACGTGAGGGCTAGCTGCTGAGCCACTAGTGACAAGTTAATGAGTGTGTTTGGCTATTGCATCGGCCAGATGCAGTATTGCCAACAAAATAAATGTCATTAAAAAAACATGCTTCAAATAAAATTGTATTTATGTCTATTGTGCCCTCATAACCCCTAAGATTTCCATTTTACCACATCTAGGGTAATTTACCACAGATTGCCATCCCCTGCACAACATATGGCCTGCGGACCGCCATGTGGCCCCCAGCACCCATTTTGCGGCCCGTCAATCAACAAAATAATCTTTATGCTTATTATTTTCTTTATAGCTTTCCCCCCTGTCCTATTTTCTTTTGTGCGCACAAGTCCTGTCCTATTTTCTTTTGGCCCGCACAAGTTTATCATAAAGTATTACGGACCATCCTACATTTTGAGTTCTGCAGGCCTGGTGTAGTGTGACAAGTCATACCAGCAGTATGTCTTCAGACAGAATGTAGTTAGAATGTTACCATTTCTTTGAATAAGTCATACCACCTGACTTTTGACAGGGAGGAATGTATTTGTTCCAACTGGTTGACTGGTACATAGCTGCCTTTGCTGCTGTAGCTGTTGGACTGCTTGAGTGCATCATTGTTGCCTGGATCTATGGTTAGTGACATTTACAAACTTTATTCAGGGCATGTAACCGAATAGTAACTTAACTACAGCATTTTATTGCATCTCAACTTATCTCTGGAAGGCGCACAGTGCTCGAATACAAATTAGAATCCCTAAGCTTACAAAGGAAACATAGTTAATTACCTTGTTTTTTCTGTTCTCCATATCAACACTAATTTGTAACTTTTGGGGGCTCCATATCAACACTAATTTGTAACTTTGGGGGCTCCATATCAACATTAATTTGTAACTTTGAGAGCTCCATATCAACACTAATTCAACTAATTTGTAATATTGAGGGCTTCATATCGACACTAATTTGCAAAATTGAGGGCTCCATATCAACACTAAATAATTTGTAACATTGAGGCATATTAAAAAACATAATTGATATTTATTTGTGCTAACCTATCTAGGGGCAGATAACTTTATGGATGATGTGACGAGAATGATGGGGTATAGGCCTCCTTACATGTTTAATATTTTATGGAGATTTATCACACCAGCTGTGCTCATAGTAAGTTATACAGTTATTGTTTCAGAAAAAAACAACTTTTAATCAATAAATCCATGTTGAAATAGTAACAACATATTTTTATTTTCTATCGGTTTTAATTATATTACTGTACCTGTAAGGTTAAGCAAACTTGAATGTGAAAATATATATATTATTAAAAATATTTTAAATGTTTGTACCGGTATTGAAAGAATTTTGACTTGTGTCTATGCCAGGTTGTGCTGGTAACATCACTGATGAGTTACGATGCCCCTACTTTTGAAGGTTACAAGTTCACTTCAGCTGGGATAGCATTCGGATGGTTCATTGCAGTCGTTTGGTTCCTTCCCATTCCTCTTGTAGCCATTGCTCAGATACTGAGGGCCAAAGGGAGCTTTCTTGAGGTTAGAATATATTTCACAGGTTTTTTGGTAGACCCCAATAAATATCAAACTTTCTTTGTAAGTGTATTTTCTTTAGTTGTAGGTAATCTACAAACTTTGATGGCTGGTGTAAAGAGCGTTCTTTTTAAGAAAAATTAATAGTCTTTCTTGGAGAAAGCAAATGTCTTAAAATTCAACAGATTAATTTATAGGTGTTACAGTATCTAAAATTAATTGAACTTTAAAAAATGACAATATAATATGTTGAGGTTTGAACAAAAAATTATTTGAATGAATATGTATTTTCTTTATATCTAAAGAAATATTTTATTAATATATTAATAAAAGATGTGTTAAAAATTCAGTTTGTTTATTTAAATAAAAATAAAATGCTGATATTTCACAGAGATTAAAAACCACTTGCAAGCCATCACAAGAATGGCAACCAGGTGATGTGACAATGAGACAACAGTACAGATCAGACACATGTGAATCAGAATTATGCACTTTTAGAACCACATGTTGCAGGTCCACATAGAACTAATTGTTTAAGAACACACACACACCCCCCGCCCCCCCTTTTTGCTAGGACCATCTAAACAAACAGTTCTTGAACCACTTGTTGCAGGTCCACCTTAGAAACAGTTCTAGAACCACTTTTGAAAGGTTAAAACTAATAGTTTTAGAACCATTTATTCAATTGTCTATCTTAAACTGATAGTTTTAGAACTACTTGCACGTCCACCAAGAAAAAAAGCTCTATGTGCCATTATAACTGCAGTTAAACTTAAAATTATAATTTAAAATTATAAAATGGCAGGTCCAGCTAAAACAAATTATTGAGATCAACATGAAACAAGTCCACCTGAACTATTCGTTTTAGCTCAGTCTAGAATGTAAATTTTAGAACCATTAGCTTAAAAATATGCTAAATGCATATAGGTAAATTCATTGTTACTGTCCGACTGCAACTTCAGAATTATTAGTCCGGGTATAATTTCTTTAAAATCCAATGCAAAGTCATCTTACTTTAACCATAGGATCATTAATATCAATTTTTGCATCATTTTGAATGAATCTACATGTGTTTTAAGGATAGATTCATCCCCATGCTCTCTAATAAACTTCACATGATCTTGGGGAGCCATACTAAATTTATAACCTCCGTTAATTGCTTACAAAAGTTAAACATTCAGCTTTGGTTTTTCATTTTTGTAGTGGGTTAAAATTGTATGTTTTGGTCCTATTTCTGTTCTGGGTTAAATAAAGGCATTGTGCATGTATTTCGATAGTTACCTACCAAGAGATTAAAATTATTTCATTGCATTCAAGTACAATAAGAATTTAGTGACAACGCTGTAGGAATTTGGTTTAAGGACTGTGTTCAAGCTGTTTGAATGAAATAGTAGAACAATGTATCTGGACCTTATTTTTCAGAGTACCAATATCAATAAATATATTCTTTCCCTTCCTGTAATCTTGGTTTTAAAAAAATCCTTCTTCTTGCAACAACAGGGGATATAGGCCTATATAAAAGTTTTATTACTTTGCTCTGTTTCTTGTCATATTTTCATATGTCCTGTTCCCAGAAGAATGCTCTTAGCCAAAATGTTCACACCTTATTGTTGTGTCTTTTAATTCAAGCTTTTAGATACCTTGTTCTACTATTTGATTGTTAATAACAAATTTATTGGAAAGCATCCCCAACATTGAAAAGAGGCTTGTGTTGTAAACTTGTTTCCTCACTAAATAATCTCAATGATATCGTTCTATTTTCTTTGTCTTCCAGTAAATCAAAATGAAGTGTCTGTATTTTAAATGTAACTGCTAGGTTATTATTTTTTAGAATATGGTAGCTTAAAAATTACATAATTAAAAAATCAACTCAGTTTTTTATAAAAATGTAATGTTTATTAAAATCCAACGAACATTAAAAACTTTATTGCAAAATAATTTGGTATAAAAACTATTGTAGTTAAAAAATTGATTTTGTGAACTTTAAAACTCTTTCCGTGCCAATCGACAGTTATTCGACAGTTATACTGTCGATTTGAGTGGTCACGTTCGTGCCAACCCACAGTATACTGTCGATAGCATTAGTGTAGTTTATTTCGTTTCCTGTTGCTCTTAATCCGACTTTTTATTTTTTCAACGAAGGATAACTCTTACAACTTCCTTTCTGTTACAAGTAGGGCTTGTTTGCCCGTGTTTTTCTAATAATATTTGGATTTTTTTTTTGAAACTTTTGTAAACAAAGTCATGGCTACGCCCACTCCAAGCATGTCAGCTGTTGCTAGACCATGTAGGTAGTAAATTTTGCAAATAAAAGAAATTTTATTGCTAATTATTGATGCTGAAACAACAGACAATAACCATGAATCTGATTCCAATGATGATTTTCAGCATTCTGATGAGTGGGTAAATGGAAATAGTAATAGAATGGTGATAGTACTGATAGTAATAGTAATACTAGTAATAGTGGTCGTGGTACTGTCGGCAATTTCATAAAAATTTCAAAACATTTTTTAAAATATAAAAATACCAGGAATAGATAGAGCCTAGAGAATGGATTAAAAAAAACACCCAGATCAACTTTCTAGCTCAAGTAGTTCAAAAGTTATGAATTTTTTTCAAAACCACTTTGTTACTATGGCAACAGTGAGGATTCAGATAAGAAAACTCCTAATGTTACAAAAATGGGTATAACTCCGTAACAAAATGGAATATTTTCAAAATGTAAAATGCATTATGATCAAAAATGGATATACTTTTTGGGGATTGAAGCAGAATAGGATATCAGCAACACAGACCCTATGGTAGTCTGATAAGTTCAGATTTTTTAAGATATAAAAAATTTGATCTCACAATTTTACCTAAAAAATTTAACTTATTGTTGTTATATTATTATTCTCTGTCTAATTTCCTTTAACTCTCTGCAGTCCGACTATAAAGAATAAAGAAATGGTACTTATAAGTACCATAGATTTTGTCGGTGGGTTATTTATTTTTTTTAAACTTTTTTTTTTTTTTATTGAAAAAATTTATTTATTATATTTTAATATTTTTTGTCTTTGTTTTAAGTATTTGTAAAAAATTAAATTTTTTACAAAATTTGAATTTACTATTAAAAACAATATTTTTTAAAATTTTGTCGGTGGGTTATTTATTTTTTTTAAACTTTTTTTTTTTTTTATTGAAAAAATTTATTTATTATATTTTAATAATTTGTGTCATTGGTTTAAGTATTTGTAAAAAATTAAAATTATTACAAAATTTGAAATTACTATTAAAAACAATATTTTTTAAACTTATTCAGCGCGGAGTATCCCTTGAAAGCTTCGCAGATTTCCAAAAAAACAAAAAATATAAGTCTCACAAAGAAAATTAAATAGTAGTATGAATATTGTTAAATGATTTTAATTTCCCGATTTATCAAGGAGTTATTTGTTTGTCTAAAGTAATGTATCCAAATGGAGACTCTCATCATGAAATTTATCACGATATAAAAGTACCGACTAATGCTATCGTAAACAAGTAAGCCAGTAAGCTTAATTTTAATTATCATTTCCCGACTTTAAAATTAATAATAAAACAATAAAGTGATATTTTTATAATTTTAACTGGCTGAAGTATATATTATCCATTTATACTTATATTGATATAATCTATTTGAATTTTATTGAGTTTCAGTAATTATATAATAAATAAATAGCGTCGCTATGCGAAATAAATATTTTAAAAAAATAGCGGAAAATTTCCGCCGATTGTAACTTGCGTAATAAAATTAATTTAAAGTTAAGGACTTCTGAGTTATTAATATATATTTCTTTAAAATATGTTACAGCCAAGAATAATCTTCTAAATTTTCTAATATTGCATAGTAGAAATGTGTTTAAATTTAATTATCATTATCACTAGTCACTAGTATTAGTAGAGACTACTGTCTGCAGAATAAAAAAAAAACATTTATGTTTTTATTAAAAGCTCTCTAACTCTAATGGGAAGGAGGAGAGAGAGAGACAAAAATGCAGATATTGGATCAAGAAGCCCTTATTCCTTATTGATCCTAAATATTAAGCCTGGACTCCACCCTTTTACTGAGTTACAAAGTTTACTGGATGAATATCTTTGAAGATTTTACCCTAAAAACAAGTGGTGGTCAGTTTTAATCTAATCACTTGGTAGCAAAATACATAAAGAATAAACTCACAATATTGTTATAACATGTTATAATGTATTTTCTATGTACAATGGTTTACTTGTATACTAATTTAGGCATTTGGACTAGGATTAATGGTATTTTCCTTACTGATACTGATAGCATACCATTACTGATACCATTAGAGTTAATTTATTTATGAATCAATCAAATTTTTATTTTTCACAGGTTCTTTATTGAGTGAAGTGAAAAATCTTACCTAATCTTATGTAGAAATCAAAGTCCAGGACAAGCTCTTATTTATCAAATATAATTATTATAATAAAACTGCATACTGTTTTAAGAAATAATATTTGTTCAGAGTCCATAAATATAATTAAGGAATACTGTAGTTTATCAGCCTGTGTTATGTGAGGATTATAACAAAGATATATAAAATGCCGGTACATGGGAAAAAATAGATCACATTAGTGAGGACTTGATCGTATTTGACATTAATATCAAAATTAGAATTATTGTACTGAAACATTTTAATTTTTTTAACTTTAACATCAGCGAATACCACTATTTTGAAATTTAAAAAAAAAAACAACGTTGACTCTTGTTTTGAGTTATTTATAAAAACATCAAATTTTACTTAGTTATCTTTTACTCAAGAATTATTAAGAAATATATTTAATATACAAATCTATAAGCTATGAGGCCCATTTTTTAAAATATATTACATACAAAACATAATTTTAATTAAAAGAAAAATTATAGTGCATTTTTTAGGAAAAAAAGACAAAATATAGGTTTTGCTAAAATGTTGACAACTTTTTGATTGTTCATAGAATTTTTGTCATGTTTGACTATGAATTGTATT